GATCTGATAGGACCCTGGCCTTCCAAGCATCCATAGATCTGTGCTTCTCTCGCCGCATTGCTTGCTCAAAAAGCATGCGGATGCTTTGCACCTAGAGGTAACCAGATCTGCACAAAATCCTGGCTACTAGAATAGTGGAGCACCTCATGAACCCATGCAGCCATCATCTTTTTCAAGAGCGTGCTTGCGAAGATCATCAGGATGTCTCCTTGCATAACCTCACTTCCGCAGAAAGCGTGGCTATGCACACATCTGCTGCGTTGACCATGCAAGGGCGCCTTCATATGGTGCGGATGGACTTCAAAGGGAGCAGAGCCATACAGGATCTCTGCTGCGGCCACTTGCTGCCTGTAGCACAGGAACCCTTGCGTTCCCACTCGGCTTTGCATCCTTTGCTTGGATTCTCTTGACTTTTCAAGGGCCCAGGCCATGGTGCGCCATCCCGCAGCTGAACCCCCGAAAGGTGCAAACGCGGCCTAAGTTGAAAGAGTAGCAACTTTGCAACTGTGGAGGAACTCCCAGCTTGATTCTGGCCTTGTGGGATGTGCTGCCGCATGAACACGCAGCCATCGCCACGATGCCAACATCTGGGGACCACTGCGCATAGCAATGACCTGACTGGCAAATCGATACAACAACACACTGATGCTATCACAAAGTCGCAAGTCTCGAGCAACTCCTCTCTTGCGATGCCATGCGAGCCAAACCTGGTAGATGTTTCAAGGCGCTGTGCACAGTGAAGCTTGAACAGGATGAATATGTTTTCAGTGTTTTTTTTACTTTTTCCTGGATTTTTTTCGTATTTTTCTGGGAGTGCTTTACAAGCATCAGGAGCAGCAGAAAGGTCAGGGGACGAAGCAAGCAGCAGAGCCAGCGGGAGGGAGAGAGCGAGACAGTGACAAAGGGAGGGTGAGGAACTACAATGGGACTTCTTTGAGGAACTACAATGGGACTTCTTTGGGTGATAGAGGCACTTGTGATAGTAGGGGTAGTGGGAACAATTAAAAAAGTGGGAGGGTGTGCGGGGGAGGGCACAGCCACGGCTAAGCCAAGGCGGGCCAAAACCAAAGCAAAAGCAAAAAGCAAAAGCAAAAAGGAAATATCAGAAACAAAAATAACGAAAAAACATCCAGAGAAATACCGGTTCCCTTGAAAACAAACGGCACTGTGCGGCTGTGCCTGCCACGCAGCTCCTAATCGAGTTCGAAGCCAGTGCACATCAGCCCAGCTCCGGTACCTGGCCAAAACATGGTGCTTTTCAACGAATCAGCAACGTGGCGTCCGTGTGGTGAATTTTTTTGTACACATTGCGATGTGCGATCTCACATACTTCAACCAAACTCCCCCTATGACATGGTTGCGCGGAGTCTGCATCACAAACTGCAAATATGTGCCGTTTGCTTGTGCCTCGGTTAGAGACGCCTCGGTTAGAGCACAAAGGGCGCAACTTGATCAGTCTCCTCTGCTCCGAGTATTGCAACATAGTCTCCCAGCAGACCTCGGTACCACCCGAGAACCGAAACGTGATTTGCACAGACTTTTCGCTACTAGGAACAAGTGCATCGCAACTAGTAGCAAGTGCCTTACTAGTAGTAACAATGTAAGCTAGTAGAAACACACATTAAATTGAATTAGAATTAAATTCTAATTCTTTCGACCTTTAGACCTTTCTAGGAACAAGAAGCTACTAGGGGCTCCTGGCATCGCTACTAGAAGCATTATTACTACACATGTGCTGCGAAAGATGTTGGAACAAAGACTTGCAGACCACCATTTTGGTGAAGCACTTGTTGCAGAAGGAATTGTCCGGCCCTCAAAAACCAAAAAGGAAGGGCGCCCTTGTTACTACTAGTAAGGCACTTGTTACTAGAAGCGATGCACTTGTTACTAGTAGCTTCTTGTTACTACTAGTAAGGCACTTGATTGTGGCTTCCAGATGTTTCTCTAGCTTTCCATCTCTCGATCTCGCTATCTGTCCACGTCTCTGTTTTTATCCAGCCACCTATCCGCACACCCGCTCATCCACTAGCCTCCATTGGCCTATCTGCACTCCACCTATCTCTCGATGTCATCTATCTCTCTATGTCTCTCTGACACTCCGTCCCCAATTCATCCATTCACCTATCCATCGACCTACCTACAAGTGCCCTGAAAATGCAAATAATGCAAGCCATTAACGCAGTGCTCTACTAGTAGCTCCTGGCCAGCGCTACTAGGAACAAGAAGCTACTAGGGGCTCCTGGCATCGCTACTAGGAGCTCTGAAGTCCTGCACATCATCGACATCACCAAGACCCGCAAATCTTGGGCACCAGCTTCTGCCAGGAGCTACTAGTAGCGTCCTTGCTCCTAGTAGCGATGCCCTTTGTTACTAGTAGCTTCTTGTTCTTAATAGCATCCTTTTTGGCCCGCCCACACAAAAAGGCGCCTCTGCCCCCCCAACCCCCTGACTCCTCACTTCATTCGCTGAACAACTCTAGCCTAGCCTATCAACTGGCTTTAGACATCTAAAGGTCCAGTGAAGAAATGTAAAAATGAAATACAAAAGAAGCTACTAGGAACAAGTGCATCGCTTCTAGTAACAAGTGCCTTACTAGTAGTAACAAGAAGCTACGAACGTAACAAAGGGCATCGCTACTTGTTCCGCAGAGTCGGACAGAGTCGGACAGAACACCGTCTCAAGACGAGAAATACGGCGAAAAGACGAAGAAACGGCTCTAGAGCACTTGTTCCTAGTAGTAAGGCACTTGTTTCTACTAGCTTCTTGTTACTACTAGTAAGGCACCTGTTACTAGTAGCGATGCACTTGTCGGAGCTCCAAAGGATAGACAGGTCGGCTTAAGAAAACGGATCAGGAGAATGCTGCATTCCAGAAGTGGACGCCCCCGACCCTCAGCTCAAAGAGATCTACCAGCTGCCCTGACACGTGTTCTCCTGCGCGATTTGTCACACACAACACATTTGTGTAGTGAAAAGTTCATCCATCTTGGTCTTTGAAGTCTACCTGTGCAGCTATGGTGGGGAGAAGAAGGAGACTGAAGTGGAAAGTTAGAAAATATGGGATGGATGGGCAGGCAAGCTCTTCTGCCAGACAACCTGTGGGTGGACGAGAGAACAACATCACGGTGCTGAGAACATTTTGTGATGAGTGTGACTGGGGAATGCCAACATACCCGGTAGTGCCAACGTGGCAGAGGAATTGGCCCAAGGAAATGTGTTTGAACGCCTGGGAGAGACATCGGTGTACAGGAGGCTCAACAGCCCTTCACAGCCCTTGACAAAAGAGCTGTTGCCCAAATGCTTCAGGTGTCACACAAGTGCACGGGGTCAGGTTTGTTGATTTTTTGTCAAGAGAAAACGTTTTCAACACATACCATCACTCATGTTCCTCAACCAACATTGCTATCTTGTTAATATGTTGACTTGTTTTTGCTGAAGGTATATAATCAACTGAACCCATACACATGTACAGCTGCCTGCCACCCCGTGTTGTCAAGGGGGTAGCAGGAAAGACTTTTTTGCCAAAAGGTGGAAGGGTTTTTCAATGCAAAAGATTGGCTGTCCCTTGACAACAGGACAGCAAAACAGAACAAACTGGGCTTGGGAGGGCTGGTATGGGATTCTGAGGTTTGTGATGTATATCTCCCCTGAATAGGCCAGGTGTAGAGTTTGTTCATGGATTTGTTAGGTTTGGTTTGCACTGAATAGCGGTGATTTTTAATATTTGATCATATTTAATCAAACTTGATCAAATTGAATCAAAGTTGATTAACATTGATCACAACATGTGTTTTTGATCAAACTTGATCAGATTGACAATTCATGTAGAAACCATTAGCCACATGTAAATTGTAAACTCCAACTCACTGGGTGGAATACATGTCAACCACACGTTGCAGCCTTTTGGGGTCTCAAACCATTGCCCCCAAAGCCAAATTTGCAATGAAAAAGTTTCTCTTGACAATAGGGGCAGCCTACGAAGGCCATGGCAAGCAAAAAGGACTGGTGCAGGAAGCAGCACAGACAAGGTGAGAAAGGGAATATTGAACAAAGCCAGCTGGAGAAGCTGGGGAAGATGACTTTGGCACAAAAGGTGAGGAAAGCAAAGGGTGCTGAGACAGCTTAGGAAGCCAACAAATCTCAAGGAGATGCTCACCAAGACAGAACACACAAAGGTCTCAAAGCACGACGATGTGATGCAAAAGAACGCACAGAAAAACGTGTCTTTTTTTTTGCAAGATGTGAACTTGGCAAAACATAGCAAAACAAAGAAGGGGCTGGAAGCTGCAACGCACGTTGTCAAAACCACAGGCCCAAAGCTTTTTCAAACGAAAGAAAGGATGGGGCGAATTTGACAGTAACAAGAAGCTACTAGGAACAAGTGCCACGCTAGTAGTAACAGGTGCCTTACTAGTAGTAACAAGACGCTACTAGGAACAAGTGCCTTACTAGTAGGCAAACATATTGCAGAGATGAATTTGACAGACATGTGCAGTCAGGGAGAACTGAACGGACCCATATACATGGTGCATATACAACTACAGAGACCGAAGTACATAAGCATCCAGGTGTGTTCAACACCATCCGCAATTAATCTCATACTCAAGCCGACTCAAGCTCCAGGCAACAAGCTTGCTCATGGCAGCAGAACTGTTTCGATTTTGATCAGAAGCTATTCAGCTATTCATGCACAGGATAATTTGTGTCTGAAAGACCTTTCTAGGCAACAAAAGATAATGGTAGCCTCTGTGTTTTTTCTCTTTGCTCTGAAATGCTTGTCAACCTAGTTTGACCACTGCCCAACCAATCAAAGTAAGATGTCACATGACTATCTGCTTTCAAAACCAGCGAACGCATTTGGTCCTGATCCGGCGGACGACCGGTGACTACTAGCGTGGCACTTGTTCCTACTAGCTTCTTGTTACTACTAGTAAGGCACCGGTGGGTCGTTTTGTTTCGCGCCCTGTTTTCAGCCCATTTCCAGTACGTCAGATGTCTCCCAACCCAGAACATCATGAGCACCCTTTTCATAAGGCTCTTCTGCGAGCTGGAAGCCTCCCTACCGTAGACCGGCTGTACTCTAGATGATCATGTAGCTGGCATTTTTTCTGGGGCAATGCCAGGGCCAACTAGTCTAGCATGGACAGCTACAATACCCTAAACTAAAGCACAAAGGGAACTGTGAAAAGGCACGCGGGCTAGGCTTTGCGATGGAGTTCACCCCACAATGAAAGGCTTACATTCCCAAGCTTTTGTGCCAGTAATGACACACAGCCAAAGCTGCACCAACACAGTGCAAATGCAGTGCTAAAAGCTAAAGTCAAGAAACACACGCACGGTTTGGGAAAGATACGACTGGACTCGACAGCACACCCAAACACGCACCAACACAGGCACACACACAAGGCAAGAAAGAGCACAAAAAAGGACACATTCACAGCTGGAACACTGGACAGCAACGACACAGGGCAACACGGTGCAAACACGCAGCTAAGAAAACACAAAGCAGAAAGACACCTATTGCACCAGCATCCAGCGCCTGCACCCAGGACAAAGGATGACAAAGTGAGACGAATGAGAATCATTTCCAAACATCCCGAACAGCCGGAGACAAAGGGGCACAAAGGGAAATTATCAACCATATATTTGACCCCACGCAAGACAAAGGTCTGGCACCGGTCTATTTCATGAGGCACAAGATAAAGGTCTGCACCGAAAGCTGTACAATTAAAGGACCGGCTCACTTAGGTCTCAGATATGCATGAAGTGCATGAACTTATATATATAATAGAGACAGCGAAGAGAACTGTGTTTCGCGAATATAATATGCGCCAACGCAACAATTTAATCCCTACCCTCAACTAGGGGGCCCAACAAAAAAGCAAGATACTTTTTCTATACTTGTGGAACAGAAAGGCGTTTGCTGTCGCTTGGTGAATATGGGTTCAAAGTGAAATCTGGAAACTTCGAGCCATTTCGAGTCCTTTCTACAGTAAGTTGCAAAACGACGTGGACATGCTGACATACAATCGATTGGGGCCCATCCCCAGATTGCGTTACCGTAAAATGGTTGCTTTCATGGCCGCGTTCCTCTCGAACAGCTTGAGTGTCACTTGAAGCTCGAGCTACATGCCATTCAGATCTACCAGTTGAAAAGCCAGACTTATCGTTTTATCCCTGCACTTCGCAAAAAAACAGCAGAACTTACACTGATAATAATCGCGCTTCAAAATTGCTAATCATCTCTCTGAGCATCAGTTTGAGCCCAAGAATTCGATATTCTCACAATTCTCAACGCATGGATTGCCATCCAACCATTCAAGTAAAGTCTGACAAAACTTCGATTGTTGGTGTCTTTGTGCTGCCTTTCTCTTCGTTTTTGGTTTCATTTAGGAGAGCTAGCAGCTAGCATGCGTTTGCATCCTAGCTCTTAGTTCTTCGCAAGACTGGAGGGAATGGATGTTCGGAAGTGAAGTTTGGCCGAAACAAGAACAGCCCAAAACACCAATCTACGCCTTTGAAGGTCAAGCATGGCGTCTACTTGAATGCGAGACCAGGAAGCCTCCAATACCAGTAAAGTGCTTGGACACCAATCTGTGCTAGCAAGCGGTGTTCTAGGAAAATAGTGTGAACATTTAACTTTTTGCGCGAAAAGTCGAAAAGTGAAAAGTTTTTGAATGCCACTGGCACTCGAAAAGTCGAAAAGTGAGACTTTTTGCGAAAAGTCGAAAAGTGGAAACGTTCACAAAAAGTCCGACTTTTCTCGAAAAAAAACATATTGCACAATGGAAGGTGTACAACAAACACATCAATTTTCCACAAGAGGGTATAAATATACATATATATATAGAGATTTAATGAAATGATTGAAATACCTAAGATGATTACTAAAAACATACCCATTGAGGATGAATGGGGTACAAAGGCTACATGTAAAAATATTATGAATGTCAATGAGCCTGTGATTATCAAGGCTAAATTTGCTGGAAGCGGCAAACGTTATATAGGTGAATATGTTGTAATAATGAATAAGTCTGTGCTATTTGTTATGCCTAATAAATAACCGGCAGCTTCAAGAGAACAAATGTGAGGGTCTTGAAGCATCTACTTACAATAAATTCTTTTCCATAGCAGTAGGTGAGGATGAAGGAGGAAAACTACCTCAGTTTGATTATTCAGGTTTTGCTGTCATTGTTTTCGATGAAGTGTTTATGGTAAATATCTATATCAAAAGTAGGATAAGATCATTGTGTTTAAATAATCCTGACAAGATCATAATACTGACAGGTGATACAAAGCAACTTCTGTGCTTTGAAGAACACACCAGTTGTCAGGATGAAGAGACCTGTGCTAATCATTGTATTGATGTGATATGTCCTTACAATACTTTCTTGACAATTTGTAAGGGGGTAGGTGCTAGAGATAGTGAAAACGGATAAATGATTATTATTATCAGTGACATATATGACGATTTCTGGATACACAAACTACCAACTAAGGAAATTATACCAAAATATTTGGTAATAACTGATGACATAATGGCATCAAAACATACCATAGCATACACCAACATAAGCTGTAAAACGACAGCAAATGACATAAAACAGAGGCTAAAAGTATGAAGTGGATGAGGTACTGATTGCCAGAAAGTGGGTGAAGGAACCAAGGATAAACATAAACATCAAATACAATATTACAAAGATTGAAGGTAGGCAACTCACCGTACAAAACATATCTGATGACAAGAATGTCATTGTGTTAAGTGAGGAGTTTGTGGATGAGACATTCATTTACTCACATTGTGCTACATGTCATTCTTCGCAGGGTTCATCAATCAAAGAAACTTTAACAATACATGAATGGAATTTACCCTTTGTATTTAGAGAGTGGCGTTACACTGCTTTAACTAGGTGTGTTGATTCTAGAAATGAAAAACAATAACAAAGAACTTGATAAGGAAATGAAACTCAATATGTATAAACATACATTTTGAAAACAAGATTGAAGGATACAAACGAAGATGAACATATTGATGTTGAATGGTGTATGGAAAGGTTGATTAAACAGTGACTTTACAGCACAGCGTGTTTGTAATTATCAATGCCATTCAAAGAGCAGTTGTGTAGCATTCTGTAAATATTGTAATTGTAGCAAATACATGATATATAGTTTTTATATGAGCGCATCAAAGAAAAAGTTACTATAATGATACATATTTTGATAGAAGCGGATACGGAAGTAAAGCAGTTACTTTGAAAGATTCTAAAAAATGAAAGTTCATTGAAATGGCAGATGTAGAAGAGTTTTGTTTAGCAAGAATGTTGAAGTGAAGAAGAAGCCTAGGGGCTTTAATTTCTTTGTGGCTCCGCATAATAATCATACCTATCAACTTGATATATTTTGCTTTATTCAGAACATATTGAAGCAAAACAAGCATTTAGAGCAGGGCTGGTTATGATAGATGCTTTAAGCAAATACGCGGTAGTAGTGCCAATAAAAAAGCAAAACCCCGCCTGATGTAATGGCTGGAACAATGGAAGGTCTCCAAAAAATTAGAGCAAAACCAAAAGTCCTTTATAAAGATGATGAGAGAGCCATCGCAAGTGCTGATTTCACAGAATACATTGAAGGTGGGGCACCTGCTTTTGCTGGGTGCTTTATTAGAAGTTTTAAAGATAAACTTTTCAAGAGGGTGATGATGAAAAAAAAGGAAAGCAACACATCCAATGGACTGGCTATATAATTGAAATAATGATTACTTATAACAATAAAGATGTCCATTCAGCAACTGGAATGACACCAAACGAAGCAAGGAAAAAGACAATGAATTTAAATCAAAATTACATGTATCAATGAAAGTAAAGAAGCAAAGATTGTATCCTGAATTAGAGGTAGGTGAAAAAGTAAAGACTCAGAGAAAGAAAGCAATTACAGAAAAGAACACACTTCACACTTTCTAAAAGGTGAATACATGGCAGAGGCAATAAATCAAACTGAGACAAACCTATTACAGTATACATTATTTGATTACCCAAGACCATTGCTTCGCAATGAGTTGCTTAAAGTCTAAAATACATTTGTTTTAGAGAGACATATTTAAAGGGATGTCATCTTAGATAGTATCTGTAAAGAGATGGAGATGAAAAATGTAGTATGTGTGATAGGGAAAAACAACTGCTGAATTCAGAAATGAAATCAAAACTTGTAACGAAGACCGTGATGAAGCAAATAAAACCAAAAAAAACAACACCGCAAAAACAATCCTGAAAAAGATGCACTACAGCGGAAAAAAAGACTTCAAAGAATTGGAGATGATAAAGACATTACCTGCCAAATATGTCAATATGATGTGAACAATTACAAGTTCAAACAACGTAAAAACTCAGTGGGACATCAAAACCTTTTACTGTAGAGATGTATGAAGCAGGTGAAGATGTAGATAAACCAGATGAAATAACAACTGGTAAATGGGGCAAGGTATGGTGTGATTGTTATGCCTGTAAAGGTAGTATGCTTCAATGAGTCGAAAAGTCCCACTTTTCTCGAAAAGTCGAACAGTCGAAAAGTTAAATTTGTTTCGAAAAGTTTAAAAACTTTTCGACTTTTTGCAAAAAAAATACTCGTTTTCGTGATAATTGTTTTCGCGAATTGCTAGCTTAGCCAACACGGGGTGACCCAACAAACTGTGATGATGGTTCACGGTGATGACTTCCTCACGTTGGAGACTCACCTGGACAAGCTTGGCAAAAGTTCTGTGATGAAGTCTCAGGATTCTTGGAGATGAAGAGGGTGACCGAAAGAAAACTCACTTCCTGAATCGGTTGATCCGAATCGAAAAGAACAATGGGAGAAACTTAGTGAAAAATTGCAGGCAGGTCGACCTTCTGATCCTCAGACCAGCAGATCAAGGCAGAAGCCCGTGATCGAGGACCCCGTTACTCGACAAGGCAAAGGCGTCTAAATACAGGTCAGCGACGATGAGGGCGTCTACCAGGAGCGATCGGACGCTACTAGGGGCGGCCTTACTACTAGTAGTAACAAGAACGCTACTAGGAGCACAGGGCATCGCTACTAGGAGCGATCGGATGCTACTAGTAGCGTTCTTGCTCCTAGTAGCGATGCCAGGAGCCCCGAACGTAGCTTCTTGTTGCTAGCAATAGTAGAGCTGCCCTGAAAAACCCTCACATGTGAAAGCCTCGTCTACGCATCAAAACACAGATAACACCACTCGAGTGTCCCCCCAAAGGTCTACTTTGAGGGCGAAGAAAAAACATCGCTTAAGCGGAAGCTAGAATCTTTGAGGCCCAACTTGCAATTTCTGAATGCTCCTCCCATTATTTCGTTTCCTCGGACCTTTGGACAATTCTTGACTTCCTCTATGTTTTTTTCTCCAAAGGGATTTAATGGCGTTGGGATTCTAACGTTACAACTCTGTTAAGATTCTAGGTTTGTTTGGACGGGCCTTGAGGATTTGCTCACGGGCTTCTTGCACAAGATGTTGTGCCTGGACAGCATGACAGCATCGCTGGTAGGATGGAGGCCATCGCCATTAGGTTGAAGGCCAACTGCTACTAATCACAAGAAGCAAGAACGCTACTAGTGGCTCCTGGCCGTACTACTAGGAGCATCCTTACTACTAGGTTGGAGGCCACTTCTTGGAACATGACATGCTGCGCGCAGCACGCGGCGTGATCTTTCGACCATCGTTGCTCTATCTGCACTGGCTGATAGCGCCTTTGCAAGGGCTCTCTTGCGCGTTTCGGAGCACACCTTGGATCCCCAGGAAGGATACTTTACACCACACAAGGTATGCAAAGAACAAGAAGACGATGGATTTGAGCCACCGGCGTTCCGCTGAAAAGCTCGTACACCACATTTAAGTCCTGTGCTCACGAACGTGAATATGGGTCAGCCAAAAAGCTGCATGAACTTGACAAAAGCTGCAGAAATCCTCGCTTCCGCAAGAACAGTGCGGAGAGGCGTAACAATACAGATTCCTGCGAACTGCATTGAACACAGCTTAAACTCATAAACAACACTATGGAACGTTCAAAGTGCCTAACTGTTCTCAACATATTTGGATCCAGAATCGACAGTGCCTTGCGGTCATGATGCCACTGTGCTACCCAAACCTGGAGGCAATATAAACCAAGTGTCAACAGGACAAAGCTGACACAAGTTGAATTCTTTCAGCCTGGAACATCATCAGCTGCAATCGCAAATTCAACGAACTCCTCACTTTTGCAGCAATGGCCTCATTGTGCTCTTCACGTGACACATGATCAAGCAAAATTGTTCTCCCAAGTACAACCTTTTGTGGGTAAGGCAAAGCGATAATGTTTATACGATTTTATACGTGCCCTGCATGGATCTGTGCTCGTGTCATGCTGTGTGACACATGTCTTCACTGGCTGCTGGCCGCTCTTGTTCACATGGCAAGAACATGGGGCTCACGATATCTCATGATGACATGCTTCTCAATGGTAGTGCATTGAAACATGCTAAAACCCAAAGACTGAACAAATACCAGCAACAATTCTGAGTGTCGAACTTCCAATTGTAGGACCCTCACCCAAGCATCCATGGCCCTTCAGGTTTGGCTTTGTTGGCAAAGCGTGAAAAGCAGCTGCCAACAATTCACAGCTTTTTTGATGAGAATGCAGGACACACAGAATAGCCTCCGGCAGATTCGATGCCAGCAAGCAACATCAAATTCTTGCAAACTCCGCCGGTGCCGAACCCACTTCGACCACCTTGCACAACAAATCACTAACAAGTTGCTAAGTTGGGCACGAGACTTTTGATTCCGGAACATTCGAAGCATGGTTTATTTGTCATGTGTTTCATAGCTCCAGCCTCTGCTCCCAGAGTCGTATCGCGCGAGCCAGAGTCTGGTTACATCTCTGATGCGAGACCTCAACTCGTACTAAATTCTGGGCAAGCCTGGCTGAAACAAAACTTGGATTCCTGCACGCAGCTGGTGCTCACGCAAACATCGACATCTTGTGGCTGCTCCCTGCCAGCATCAGAGTACATAATAATTGTGCGTGTCTTTCTGGCGACACTGATGCATGATTCTTGTTTGGATCTGATAGGACCCTGGCCTTCCAAGCATCCATAGATCTGTGCTTCTCTCGCCGCTTTGCTTGCTCAAAAAGCATGCGGATGCTTTGCACCTAGAGGGAACCAGATCTGCACAACATCCTGGCTACTAGAATAGTGGAGCACCTCATGAACCCATGCAGCCATCATCTTTTTCAAGAGCGTGCTTGCGAAGATCATCAGGATGTCTTCTTGCATAACCTCACTTCCGCAGAAAGCGTGGCTATGCACACATCTGCTGCGTTGACCATGCAAGGGCGCCTTCATATGGTGCGGATGGACTTCAAAGGGAGCAGAGCCATACAGGATCTCTGCTGCGGCCACTTGCTGCCTGTAGCACAGGAACCCTTGCGTTCCCACTCGGCTTTGCATCCTTTGCTTGGATTCTCTTGACTTTTCAAGGGCCCAGGCCATGGTGCGCCATCCCGCAGCTGAACCCCCGAAAGGTGCAAACGCGGCCTAAGTTGAAAGAGTAGCAACTTTGCAACTGTGGAGGAACTCCCAGCTTGATTCTGGCCTTGTGGGATGTGCTGCCGCATGAACACGCAGCCATCGCCACGATGCCAACATCTGGGGACCACTGCGCATAGCAATGACCTGACTGGCAAATCAAAAATGGCTATAGACGATGCAACAAGTGGCAAAAACACTGATGCTATCACAAAGTCGCAAGTCTCGAGCAACTCCTCTCTTGCGATGCCATGCGAGCCAAACCTGGTAGATGTTTCAAGGCGCTGTGCACAGTGAAGCTTGAACAGGATGAATATGTTTTCAGTGTTTTTTTACTTTTTCCTGGATTTTTTTCGTATTTTTCTGGGAGTGCTTTACAAGCATCAGGAGCAGCAGAAAGGTCAGGGGACGAAGCAGCAGAGTCAGCGGGAGGGAGAGAGCGAGACAGTGACAAAGAGAGGGTGAGGAACTACAATGGGACTTCTTTGAGGAACTACAATGGGACTTCTTTGGGTGATAGAGGCACTTGTGATAGTAGGGGTAGTGGGAACAATTAAAAAAGTGGGAGGGTGTGCGGGGGAGCCCACAGCCACGGCTAAGCAAAGGACAATACCGGTTCCCTTGAAAACAAACGGCACTGTGCGGCTGTGCCTGCCACGCAGCTCCTAATCGAGTTCGAAGCCAGTGCACATCAGCCCAGCTCCGGTACCTGGCCAAAACATGGTGCTTTTCAACGAATCAGCAACGTGGCGTCCGTGGGGTGAATTTTTTTGTACACATTGCGATGTGCGATCTCACATACTTCAACCAAACTCCCCCTATGATATGATATGTTGACTCAAACACACACGCTGCATGTCTTCATCATCTTTCTGTTTGTCCCAGTGTCTTCGTTTGGGACTAATGAGGACGCACAGGCAGCGTCATGGGCACAGACAGGTCTGGTGTCACAAACATTCCAAACCATTCTTTAGCCCTTTCAATTTTGTTAGGTTGGAGGCCCATCGCTATTAGGTTGGAGGCCCATCGCAAACCATTGCTATTGAAATCCCACTCCGCGTCACTCGCGATACGTTTCTGATTCCATGATGTGGTCGATGCGCACAGCTTCGAGAGCTTCTTCTGCTCAAAGTGTCGCACGAGGGCAGCCCAACAAGCCTTCGAAACGATACAAATACGCCATTAGTAACAAGAAGCTACGAACAGGAGCGAGGACGCTACTAGGGGCTCCTGGCATCGCTACTAGGAGGAAGGACGCTACTATAGGGGCTCCTGGCATCGCTACTAGGAGCAAGGACGCTACTATAGGGGCTCCTGCCATCGCTACTAGGAGGAAGGACGCTACTATAGGGGCTCCTGGCATCGATACTAGGAGCAAGGACGCTACTATAGGGGCTCCTGGCATCGCTACTAGGAACAAGGACGCTACTAGGGGCTCCTGGCATCGCTACTAGGAGCAAGGACGCTACTAGGGGCTCCTGGCATCGCTACTAGGAGCAAGGACGCTACTATAGGGGCTCCTGGCATCGCTACTAGGAGGAAGGACGCTACTATAGGGGCTCCTGGCATCGCTACTAGGAGGAAGGACGCTACTATAGGGGCTCCTGGCATCGATACTAGGAGCAAGGACGCTACTACAGGGGCTCCTGGCATCGCTACTAGGAGCAAGGACGCTACTATAGGGGCTCTGGCATCGCTACTAGGAGGAAGGACGCTACTATAGGGGCTCCTGGCATCGATACTAGGAGCAAAGACGCAACTATAGGGGCTCCTGGCATCGATACTAGGAGCAAGGACGCTACTATAGGGGCTCCTGGCGTCGCTACTAGGAACAAGGACGCTACTAGGGGCTCCTGGCATCGCTACTAGGAGCAAGGACGCTACTAGGGGCTCCTGGCATCGCTACTAGGAGCAAGGACGCTACTAGGGGCTCCTGGCATCGCCACTAGGAACAAGAAGCTACTAGGGGCTCCTGGCATCGCTACTAGGAGCAAGGATGCTACTAGGGGCTCCTGGCATCGCTACTAGCAGCAACGACGCTACTAGCGGCTCCTGGCATCGCTACTAGGAACAAGGACGCTACTAGGGGCTCCTGGCATCACTACTAGGAACAAGGACGCTACTAGTTGCTGATAGGAGCAAAAAGCTACTATAGGGGCTCCTGGCATCGCTACTAGGAGCAAGGACGCTACTAGGGGCTCCTGGCCTTGCTACTAGTAGCAGGGCTCCTGGCGTCACTACTAGGAGCAAGGACGCTACTAGGGGCTCCTGGCATCGCTACTAGGAGCAAGGACGCTACTAGGGGCTCCTGGCCGTACTACTAGGAGCAAGGACGCTACTGGGGGCTCCTGGCCGTACTACTGGGAGCATTGACGCTACTAGGGGCTCCTGGCATCGCTACTAGAAACAAGAAGCTACTAAGGGGCTCCTGGCATCGCTACTAGGAGCAAGGACGCTACTAGGGGGTGAAGTATGAAAAAAACTATTTATCGCATCAAGAAAAACTTATTCAAGGGGATCAATAAAAAACTAAATACTTAATCAAAAAAAAAATTCTACCACGAACCCTCTTTGGGCTGGGCGTCGGCCTGTATACTAATCTCTTTCCTCCTGCCTGGCCTCCTGGCTAACAGGCAGTTTCCGCTCAGAGTCGAAATTCGTGGCAGGAATCTTGTGGCACAGGGGGGGTTGGGGGGAGGGGGACGCGCCTCCCCCTATGAGCAGACACGGCTAACGCTTTCAGGTATGCGCTACATTATTCTGAACTAACGTAAGTGATTAAATGTTTGAAGGTGTTTTCTTTTCTGATTTTTGGAGTAATTTCATTCTATTTCATACATTTTGTCAATTCTTTAATGCATTATGTAAAGTTCACGCTGTGCACTTGTGTTTCGGCAGTTCGAACTGTTTTCGACCTTCACTTACCGTCGTTCCCTCTCAAGACTGGGAGGGCAGTTGCCTTGCAAAAGGCGCGGCCGCGGCGCTTCAGTGCGCCCTCTTGTTTTCGTGTTTGCGGACTTCGGGCGCCGCTGCTACCTTTTTCGCATTGGTAGCGGAGCCTCCTCCGGGGGGCTCCGAGTCCTTTGCGCGAAGAAGAACGAGGTTCTGCATAAGTCCTTCGTCACGAACCCTTGGCCGAGCTCTTTTGTTTCCTCGTTGAAGAGCCCTTTCGGTCTTGGCTACTTGTTTGAGAATGTCACCAACGACATCGGCTGCAGAAGGTTCCAAGGATGGTGACTACCTCAACCTGCGCGACTCCTTCGTTCCACTGTTCAGTGGACAACCCCAGGACTACAAAGAGTACAGAAAGAGGCTGATGCTCTACCACCACAAGATGAAGATCAGCAAGCGTTCAGCCGAGTCCGTCCTGAACATCCTGGGAAGTTTTCAGGGTGTGACGTGGCGGTTGTTCGAGGACTTCTCAATTGAAGAGGCTGAGAAAGAGGATGGCTTCAGCAAGATCATCACCAAGCTCGACAAGAACTTCGAGTATGACGATCGTGTGCTCCTTCCGAATGACTTTGAGGAGTACTTCAACTTGTTGCAAAGGAAGCCACAGCAAAGCCTCCTGTCCTTCGTCACCGACCATGACACCGCCTATCGTCGTTTGACTGCCCACAATGTGACTCTTCCAGTCCAGGTTCAAGGATGGCATCTACTCCGACGTGCTGCTTTGTCAAAGGAGCAACGCCAAATGGTGACGCTGAAGGCTCCTACGTTGGAAAAGAATCCTGTCATCGAAGCCCTGTACCTGCTGTTCGGTCAGGACTACAAAGCAGGCGGCTGGAATGCTGAACGTGATCGAAAGCTCAACCGCTGGAAGGGCCGCGGCTACGCCGCATTCGATGAAGAAGATGCCTACTGGTCCGAGCAACCCTGGACAGAAGACGCCTACTATGAGGCCGACGACTGGTATGATGACACTGCCCCTGACGATGAGGCTGACTTTGACTATGACGCCATCTACTACGGCGAAGAGGATGAACCTGGAGAACACCATGACCTGTCCGAAGATCCTCAAGAGTTGGCCGAAGAGCATGACCACGCCTATGCCACCTACTTGGATGCCCGGCAAAGATTCCAGCAGCTCAAGTTGGCTCGTGGCTACCTGCCGATCGTCGCCCTCACTGATGGCCAGAACGCTTCGCCCGCCTCTGGATCCTCTTCACCTTCGAAGGGCGCCGGCAAGAACAAAGGAAAGGGCAAGAGCAAAAGCAAAGGAAAAGGAAAGAATGTGGTGCGCTATCCACCCTCCTCAGGTGGAAAGGCTGATCCAAAAGGTCGTGCAAAGGCAACTACATGCCTTCGTTGTGGCCAACCAGGTCATTGGGCAGCGCAATGTCCACAAGGTGCGAAATCACCCTCATCGTCCAACAAGAGACCTGCACCCACTGAGGGTATGGCCTTGCAGAATGAGACCGCCTTGGTCCTGTTCCAGGATGAGATGGGCACCGACCGACCGGATGCCACCATGCTTGACCCAGGTGCATCTGCCTTCCTGTGCGGATATGGTCCATTCGGCCGCTATTTGAGCCACTTGCACTCCATGAACTACCCCATCAACACCATCCGCTTTGCTCGATGTGACCGCCAGTTCCATTTTGGTGGCGATGCATCCTCACGA